CGGAAATAAATCCAGAGAACTTTTGTCCTGTAAACTTCTATAAACTGAGGAAAGCTTTTTTTTTTCCTTCTTTTTTTTCTTCGTGATATATTGTTGCATTGTGATGAAATGCATTTGCCGGAGTAATGCGCGACATAAAGGAGAATCGCCTGGCACTTAGCATACCTGCGGTATTTTTTTCGAAATTAAGACGAGCCCGCGCCAACGAAGTGAACTCGACGGTGGCGAAAATGGCGCCAGCAGCTACCGCCGGGAGCGACGCTGAAGGTGGCGGGGGGGGGGGGGGGGGGGGATTACAAATTGAGCATTGGTGTACGCGACAGAAAACTCGCGTTCCAAAGTTTACTCCATCACGCTCCAGAGTAAAGTTTCTGTACTTTGGCGTTCAAAAAGCTACTCTCCAAGAAATTCAGACTACTTCCCCAAGAGGTACTGAGAATCGTAAATGCTGCGAGCTATGGAGGCAAATCGGCGAGTGATAAGGCTTAAGATATGTTTATTCCTTTATAAAAACATTCGTCGCTGTGTCACTAATCATGAGGTTTCCCCGTATTCATTGCTACATCGCAGGCTGTTTTTTTTAGGTGTAAGCATATTATCTCTCTCGTCATTCGCCAAGTTACTTCGATGAATTACAGTGATTGACCTTCCAACGTGTTTTGTGGGACAGCAGTCGCTCCAACTTTATGAAGGCTCTGTTCTACTCCGACGTCGAGCGTAGCACACGCGATGTAGAGCAGCGCATGCCGAAACTGATAGGCCGCAGATATCGAGTTCCTGCTCGCCGGCCAATCAAATGCCCGCGGTCAGCACTACGCTACGTTTGCTGCTCCCAACGTCGGAGTATAACAGAGCCTTTAAGAGTGTACCCGCGTCCACCAGCGCCCCTCCCAAGGATGACGTATCTTTTTGTCCGAGGTCGACGCTTTGATCTAATAAAACAAACTACTTTAATTGTCCGACTTTAATTGTCTCCTATCTGGCAATGCCCGCGAGAATGGCTTGGACGTACTCGGGGAAGCTAAAGAACGCTGTCGAAGATCTCCCCAATCCTGTGTCTTGAAATACCATCATCAGTGGAGCCACTCGTCATGCTTCTGCATTTTACCAGCACCAAACTTTACGCTAATGAAGAATCACTTCGTTGTAAACGAATAGAAATGGATAGAAGAAAAGCGAATTAAAGCTCCTCTTGAAACCGCCCTGTACTCTTTTGAAGAGCTTATCACCCAAGTGAGAAATGCCCTGTGTACGTAGACACTGCGGACGTATGCGTGGCGTCTTTTATTCCAGAGAGGAGCGCTACCGCGTGTGCTCAGAACGCGTTCCACTGCCCAGTGAACAAAGGTGGCGCGCACAATAGATGGTTATTGGAATTGTCTGTAGCGTGCGTCCACATAGCCCCAGCTGCAGTCTAGACGCCTTGGCTCCGTCTTATAAAAGCAGCGCAATGCTGGCGCGCGGTGACTCTAAGTTCCAAGCTTCTGCCGCTTCGTTCTATGATCCCATTAAGCCCAAGCTCTCGCGACGAGTTAGAATGGAAGTCCACTAAAGATAGCATCATTCCCATGTCCTTACTTCCACCTAATCGGACGAGATCAGGCTGCCTGACACAACCAGAACGAACCCGACTTCTCGTGCGGCGACCCTTCCCCACTCCCCTTCGCCAATTTGCATTTAAAATCGAAAAAAAAATCATCTGAAACTTTTCGTAATATTGGGGTTAAAAATAAAGTTGCCATATTTTTAGGAACCAAATGTCACGTCTTATATTTCCTACTTTAAACTGACTTTTCTCCTTCAGCTTGTTATTTAAAACAAAACGATTGTAAAAAAACAACAAAAAAAAAACAACAACTGTGTTTTGTGCGAAATGTCATACTAAAACTGATAGACTGATAAAATTTAGAATTATTAATGTGGTCGCAGGTTAAAAAAAAACTAATATGTAAGATTATGCTTTTTTCATCGTGAACCATTTCTTGCTTTCTCGGGTTACACTATTTTTAATAACTGCTCCAGTGGTATTGCTTGAACATAGGAGTACATACAGTAATAAGTTGTGCAATATAGATTATTAGAACAAACAAACTATTTATCTTTCGTCAATAGCATTAATGTTTCTTGCACGTAATGAGTCGTTATTTCATTGACACTTGATTAACTTAGTGCTTGTCATGAGTATTGGATTGTGGTATAGAATATGCTGTTGTGCTCTGTGTTTTTTGGTGTACTGTGAACTTTCCAGAATCTCGTAGGACAAAATGCTTCTCCCATTTCGGAAATTCTTAGTGTTCAAAACTGCCCGACATTGACCTTATCCAAAGCGTACAGCAAATTCCCGTAGCTGTGAAGAAGTTTATCAGTCTCTATCCTATTGCGACTCCTTAAGGCTCCTCCACTCTCAATATAAAAAAATGAGGTGTTACTATACTGCTTTTTCTAATAGTTAACCATACAATTGTTGACAGATGCTTCCCACATTTTTTATGTGAAAAGAAATGCACATAATGGCAATTTCAAAGTGTCCAAATTTTTTACAGCGTACTGTGTTTTCAGTAGACAAGAATCGCACACAAAATAAATTCTTGCTCAACACAACCAAACAGTACGGAAATGTGTATCCTGCCAAAGCCACTATATTAATATGCAAGACGAAACATCTTTATGTAAAATCAACTTAGTAGATTGCAGTAATGAGCTCCATGACCGTTCCCATTGCATCCTTGCAAACTAATTTGTTGATGGCGGATAATTTCGTAGAATTTCTTCGTGCGCGAACACAAAGCTCAAGACTTTCATAAAGATTACGCATCTCTATCCAAGGTACATCGTCCCGGCCACCGAAAGCTTCAAGATATATCGTTACATTGACCCCATCAGCGTCAACCATTGTCTATTGTCTCACTCTGCACTAATACAGTAAAAACACGTCAGGGTGTACCGCTAGCCAAAAAAAAAACAAAGAAAAAAAAAAAAACCACATTACATGTTTCTTGCATGCACTAGTGCATGGCAATATGCCTTTTGAGGTATGGTTATTTTCGTTTTAGTGAGTATTAAACGGTTTTTACGCAGCATAATTCAATGAAAAGTTGCGGTATAATCAACTACAAATCTATTGAAAACATTAATATAACTTAATCGAAAGGCTACAACGTGAAAATAAGACAATGTTATTTATATAGACCTCTCTCTTTGCGAGTCTAACTAGAAGAAAACAGTTAGGTTGTTGCTTGTGGAATGTTGGCGATACAACGGCAGCTCCGAGCTTCAGGGAGCATTAACGACCTGAGAGAGAAACCTGTGGTTAGAAATATAATGTTATTTTACATGAGCAGCGGCTGTAGGTTTGTGATTATAGTTAGAAAGAAATCACCACCATAACAAGTAACACCCAGTGGGACGTGGCAGCTCATCAGATGTACAGACGTTTTTCTAGATGTTTTCATGAGGTCAGTGAATACTAGTATAATATCAATCGCCAAAATACAAAGTGGTGGCATTGTAGGGCGTCTAGCGTTAAGTTGAACCAAAGTGGTAATATGCGATAAGGATCGCATAATTCAGATATCCTGTTAAAACGAAATCAAAGGAATCCTTCAACTTTCTGTATCTTCCGAAGTTACGCAGAACACTTTTCTTCTAAAGGAACAATTTATTTTAATTTTTTGCTCTTCATTTTTTAAAACAATTTAAAACAAATATAAGACAATTACTGGTTTATGAATTTTACTACTCACTGTGATAAAGGTAATGACGTATGCAGTTTGATGTAAGAATTGAACTTGAAATTAAAAAATTGTTGTATTCTGTTCCGTCACAATATTGTGACACACGTGAAATAGACAATGTATTATAACTCAGTTTCGTTAGATACAATCGTTCTAATTAACCAACATGATACCCATATTAAAATTGTTTCACATCATCAAATATTTTTGGCACGCCACACATTGATGAACTTCAAATTGAACCAAATCTAAGAAAATTACAGGACGTACGGTATGGTTAACTACAAATTGACTCAAAATTTTAGGTATATAGAAGTGGCCAGCAGTTGAAAAGTATCATTGTATAAATACGGCTTGTGAGTGTTGTATGTGAACATTTGTTTTCAGAGCGTACGATTTTTGAATATTTTAGAGGGCTCTTAACATTCCTTTTAAAATTAGTCGTTTATGCACCCTATTTTATCTTAATTTTAGAGCGCAATCTTTTTCTACCTATCGATGAAAACCGCTTTACCCACTTCACCCACTCGGTGAATCTGGTGCCTGTTTTGGCAATAAAACCCTTATCAGAAAGTGACACATCGAACAGCTTAGTTTCACTAACCAAAAATGTTTTATCATTTAAGCCAAAATATTCGCAAACACATATCCACGCGCATATTCACATACACACATACGGACACCCTCAAATTCGTGATAGCACACGGAACTAACTGTGATCTGCGTCACTGTTATTTTTTTGATTACCAAATTAATTCGAAAGTTTTTTTATTGTTTTCTACATACCCGAAGAAAAAGCAATTACCTGCCTAGAAACGACTCTTGCTTTCATGAGCTATCATATTTGCGTATAGATTTCGCGAGCATTTGCAATTTTTCCCGGTGACTAGTGTAAGGTCCCCAGAGGAATCGTTTTAACAACTATTTCCTAAAAGTAAAGATTGCATCCCTAGACGTACGCTTAAGACGACGATAGTAGCTTAAGACGACCAGCACAAAATTACGTGATGGCGTAAATATAAACAATTGTCAAACTCCAAGTGCTGAAGAGCCTTAAATCTTCATAGTGGTCTCCTAAACACGGATACGAAAAAAAAGAACCTAATGCCGATTTTGTTCTTACAATGCAAATAGTATAATTCCAGAAACAGAACACTGCAAGTAATCCAGAAACACATCAACCTGTATAATCAGTGCAGTCGACCTCAAAATTTTAACAAAAAGGGTTCGTGCGCTAAAGCGTGTCGAACTCTGTTTCTCCCGTAGGACGAAAAAAATCAGATAATAACAACAAACGTTTGGTTAAACCTGGTAAGTGACTCCAAGTGCCTACGTGATGTGCAGTGTGGAAAACGTCTTGTGACGCAGCGTTTCTTTTTTTATTCCGCGCGAAACGCGCACACACACACATACATGCACAATACGCAAGCAGGCAAACATTAGGAACAAAAATATAGTGTGGAGACAGGTGAAAATAGTTACTAGAAAAACAAGTTCTCCATAAAGGAAACCTAAATGGACGGAATTAACTTTGGCACTGGAAGATACGAGAGCTCTTTCGCTCTCCCGCTACCTCGCTCATGCTCTTAGGAAAGGCAGCACTTTTCTCGTATCTCCCTCTATCCTTCCTGATGCACTCAAACCTTACTGCGTACGCTCTAACAATACCTATGGGCGTGCCATTTTGAGCGTGAAACGATCATTATTGGATCACTTATGATCAGCTTAGCCGTTCGGCCAACTTAGAAATGATTCTATTCAGTTCACCAACTTAATAGGGTGAGAAGTGTGCTCCATTCCTAGACCAAGAAAGTTGAATTAGTCCGTGTTCGGCCTTCTACCCCAGGGATTGTCAGAAAGACTGTCAGTCTTGGGTACCGATTTAAAGATCGCGCGTGTTGAATGCAGCCATCGGTTAAGCGGCTTATAATTAAGATATAATATTTTAAAACAATTACACTTTCAGGCATTCTTACTGGTGAATATTTCATTCCATCTTCGCTAAGTTTATAGAGAATGCCTTCTGCTTCATTACTATGCATTAACTAAGCAAAACCTTCGCAGAAGATGTGAAACGTCGCGCCTTCTTGAATACAAGGCCTGAGTGCTTAATGCCGTGGTGTCGTAAATCATGCAAAGCAAAACAAGCAAAACTTACGGAATGCTCCAATTAATTTATATTTCTTGTGAATCCTTTATCAATGCTGTATTTTGCCGGTCCTGCCTCACGAGTTAGCTACCACGTGATGTCACGGTCTGTTGCACTGAGTCCTCGTGTTCTAGGAGGCGCCACTATAGCTCGCGATACTGACGCCTGCCTTCTCTTCACTTCTACTCTTTTATAGGATGAAAAGAATCAACTAATAATTACAAATATCTGGTTAACCTTGGTAAGTTCGCCGATCTAGTACCCCGTGCCGTAATTTGTTTTAGCAGTTAAGTCAGTTTTTAAAATTAAATTTCTGCCGTAACATTTTTATAACTAAGGCCAGTCTGATCATTGCCATTTAAGCAGAATAGAAATAATTTGTTTCATGTTAGAGGATAAAGGAGGTTGGAGGGGTCTTTCTCGCCGAGTGATTGTTCATTCAAATTGGAGAATACTTCAATAAAATCAGCAAACTACACAACCTACAAATATGCGCGGGGTATCAGTGACGCGTGGGTACAATGAAACAAACCAGAAAACTAAACCAGTCTATCTTATGCAAAATAGACAGAGCAGATGGCAAGAATCGCTTAATTCAAAATATAAGATTTTTTTTTGCTTTAATGCTTTTGAAAAACGTTAACTTTGATATAATAACGTTTGTCACCATTGAAAGGAGCTTACGAAAATTTATTCGTGCGTTCATATTGATAGGCGTTTGTGCCATAAAAAATGAGTACTCACTAAAGAGATTTCTAAATAGAAATCTGAGAGGGTGATTTCTTTCAACCAAATTTATCCTCTAAGAAGCTGTTTCTTTGTGTCTGCCCTTTTAAAAGATTACATGAGCTAGCACACTGTCAATCATCATAGTTCAAATAAATAATAGTTGCTTTGTAAAGTTTTATTAAGCCTAAGAACTACGGAGCAATCAAAGCTCATGGAAGAAGACGCTGTCTGTATTTGAAGAGCAATATGGATAGGAAGAGTCCCATACGTTGTCACTTGAACTAACTCTAAAGGCATGATCGACAGATATAGAATCAATGAAATGTTCAGGTTGTTGAAGCTTTGAAGTCACTTGCGTAGCCAACACTCTACATTGTTAGGCCCACCACTGCATGCAGTCTGCTTTCCTCCGCACGCTCACGCCTGTTTTAAGTTTCCTTTTATTTTTGTAGACGGAAAATAGGATAGTTTCCTCGGTTTGCAGATTCCCGATTAATGCATGACCTTCTTGCCGAGAGTAAGGGGCTTAAAACTTGTAGGACAGTGCACGTTGTCTAGTAACTATTCAAATACATTAAAATCATGTTTGAGTAGCAAATACTAGGCATATAGACAACTTCAGTGGCACTGCAAGCATGAGAGCATGTTTGAATTTTGTGAAAATGTTAGAGAGGAATCATGACGGGGTTTTCCTGAAGAAGTTACCAGAGAGTTTGCTTTTTGAGGATTGTACATATTGCTTTAAAACATTGCGACAAGAGTACAAAATGATTAACCAAGAATTTACAATATATCATTACCACGTGTAAAGTGGTTCTTTAGTGAGTTTTAATTTTCGTCCACACTTTATTTTGGAAATTAAGATAATTTTGTTCTTGCTAGTAAAACTTGGGTTAAATTACTTTTTAAGACAATATCGGTGGGTGCCTCCGTTTGTTTTAGAGATACTTATGGGTTTAATGCAAAATGTAATGCAATGTATAATTAAAATAAATAACACGATGAAGTTAAACCTGTTCTTGTTAGTGCAAAGAAAGCCTCATCCTCTCAGAGTCAACAAAAATGAAGGTCGCTGTAAACTGCTCTTCGATAAAGGTAACTGTTCGTAAATTTAAGTACACAAGAGTTAAATATATTTTGGATTAACTAAATAAACAATGCACTTAAAAACTTTCGTTGTCATCTTACCAAAATAATAGGACAAAGGAACAATACTCGCCATCTTGGATTCCCATAAAGAAATGCACAGCGACCTGGTCGAAGGGTAATTTCTAAACCCGGACTAACCCTTTAATATAATGAAAGCCGCGGTTCAATAAATATTAACAAAAAGTTGTATTTTTATTAGATTTCTATTATGTCAGGTTAATTTGTTTTCTGCAGCTGTAAAACTTTTTTTTTTACACTAATAGTCTGAGTTTTTTTCACTTCGTTATAAAGAACTCTTTAAGAATACGCAAAGAGGATTCTTAGTGTAAAACTGAAAGAACAGTTCAAAATATAAAAGTAATGTTCGAAGAGATATTGCCGCGCGCAGGGTCACGGACTTGTAGAAAGTTCTCGTTCATTCTTGCTGCGGAAATAACTATCGTTCATCCTTGTTTTTGTTGTTCTAGAAAGTGCTTGTTCATTCTCGCCCCGAGCGCGCTACGCTCGAACCTTCTCCGCCGAATCTTCGAGATAGTGACTGACTCTAGATAAGAGGCCGCCCGCGACCTTGTCGAGTCAGTTTTCGCCCCAGCGCTCGACTCTGCTGTCTCGCCGACCTCGACGCTCGCGACGCTTTGTTATTATTTTCTATTCTCTTTTTGTTTTGGCACAAGTTCGCCACATTAAACGTTTAGTTCTTCCTGTTTATTTATTGTTATTCTGGTCACCACCCGTGACATTTTGGTGGAGGTGCTGGGTAACGCATGCCTGTGCAGTATCCCCCCCCTTCGAACCTTTGTTCGCGATTTTGCCAAGATTTCTGCACCGCTCACGCATCTGACCAAGGACGACGTGAACTTCCAGTGGGGGGAGGAGCAAGAACAAGCGTTCAACGAACTGAGGGAAAGACTCCAGTCGCCCCCTATCCTCGGACACTTCGATCCATCAGCGGAAACGGAAGTTCACACGGACGCCAGCAACGCCGGACTCGGCGCGGTACTCGTCCAAAGACAAGACGGAGCAGAGAGGGTGATCGCTTACGCAAGCCGGGCACTGTCTAAGGCAGAGAAAAATTACTCGACGACCGACAAGGAATGTCTCGCTGTCATCTGGGCGTTAACCAAGTTCCGCCCGTACCTGTACGGGATCCCGTTTCGCGTTGTCACGGACCACCACGCTCTCTGTTGGCTCGCCAACCTCAAGGACCCGTCAGGACGCCTCGCTCGCTGGAGTCTGCGACTGCAAGAATTCGACGTGGCCATTGTGCATAAGTCTGGCCGCAAGCATAACGACGCCGACTGTTTGTCTAGGGCCCCAGTCGAATCTCCTCCCGAAAGCACTGACGACGACGACGACGCCCGTTTTCTCGGTGCAGTGACAGATGCCGACATGGGAGCACTTCAACGAGACGACCCGGAACTTCGCGCCGTGATCGAACACCTAGAAGGCCAAGGAAGTTCAGTTCCGCTAGTCTTGGCCCGAGACTTGTCAAGCTTCGTTCTGCGGCGAGGTGTGCTCTTCAAGAAGAACTTCGGAACGAGCAACCCTGCTTGGCTGCTGGTTATTCCGGCCAGCCTGCGAGAAGAAATCTTTCAAGCATGCCACGACGACCCGCCGGCTGGACACCTTGGCTACAGCCGGACGCTCGCCCGGATTCGTGACAAGTACTACTGGCCGAGACTCCCGAAAACACTCCATCTGTACACAAGGTCGTGCCATGAGTGCCAACGACGTAAGAGGCCTCCGACGAAGCCAGCAGGACTCCTGCAGCCGATACCTGCCCCGACTAGGCCTTTCCAGCAAGTCGGAATGGATTTGCTTGGGCCGTTCCCAACATCGACGCAAGGAAATCGGTGGATTATCGTCGCGACCGATTATCTTACACGATACGCCGAGACGAAAGCCCTGCCATCGGGAACAGCCGTGGAAGTCGCCAAATTTTTCGTCGAGTCCATTCTCCTTCGACACGGCGCACCTAAAGTACTGATTACAGATCGCGGGTCATCCTTCATGGCCCAGCTGACGCAAGAAGTCCTTCGTCTCAGCCACACCAGCCATTGTCGCACCACGGCGTACCACCCGCAGACCAACGGGCTGACGGAGAGACTCAACAAAACCATCGCCGACATGATTTCCATGTACGTCGACGTAGAGCACAAGACATGGGACGAGGTGCTGCCGTACGTCACGTTTGCGTACAACACAGCGGTTCAAGAAACCACGGGAATGACACCGTTCCAACTGGTACACGGCCGAACGGTTACCACGACGCTCGACGCCATGCTGCCTCACGTTCCAACCGGTGATGTCAACGACGACGCTCAACTCATCTCCCAGCGCGCGGAGGAAGCTCGTCAACTGGCAAGAGTCAAGATTCAAGACCAACAGCGAGTCGACGCACGCCGGTATAACCTTCGTCGCCGGGACGTCCACTTTCAACCCGGAGACCGGGTATGGGTTTGGACACCAATACGTCGTCGCGGTCTCAGCGAAAAACTCCTGAAACGCAATTTCGGACCCTACAAGATCCTCCGACGCCTCGGCGATCTGAACTACGAAGTTCTGCCCGACGGAACGCGCCCATCTGCAAGACGTCAGCCGCGACCCGAGGTGGTGCACGTCGTCCGGCTGAAGCCGTACTACGAACGATAGAACTTTCCACTCTCGTCGACGGGTGAACTGTGAACTGTGAACTGCGACTCGCGATTCTGCTGCCTTTTGTTTTGGATTTGTTTTTGTTTGTGGTTCTTCGTTTTGTGCTGCATCGGGACGATGCACTTTTTAAAGGGGGGGCATAATGCCGCGCGCAGGGTCACGGACTTGTAGAAAGTTCTCGTTCATTCTTGCTGCGGACATAACTATCGTTCATCCTTGTTTTTGTTGTTCTAGAAAGTGCTTGTTCATTCTCGCCCCGAGCGCGCTACGCTCGAACCTTCTCCGCCGAATCTTCGAGATAGTGACTGACTCTAGATAAGAGGCTGCCCGCGACCTTGTCGAGTCAGTTTTCGCCCCAGCGCTCGACTCTGCTGTCTCGCCGACCTCGACGCTCGCGACGCTTTGTTATTATTTTCTATTCTCTTTTTGTTTTGGCACAAGTTCGCAACATTAAACGTTTAGTTCTTCCTGTTTATTTATTGTTATTCTGGTCACCACCCGTGACAATATCTGCGTTGAAGCTTGATGGTTATTTTTGAAACAAAAAGTATATGAGGAATCACTACAAACTCGAAACACAATTTTGATAATAAATGTGAAATTATAATGGAAACCAAAATAAACTCAACCAGAACACAGTAACATTTTCTACCTTCCCACGCTTTTCGATGTTGCGATTCTGCTTGTGAATGTTTGCTATGCTTTACC